CGTACGTTACGTTACGTTACGTTACGTTACGTTACGTTACTTACGTACTACTACTACTTACTACTACTACTTACTACTACTACTCTACTCTACTTCTTCTCTCTTCTCTCTCTCTCTCTCTCTCTCTCTCTCTCTCTCTCTCTCTCTCTCTCTCTCTCTCTCTCTCTCTCTCTCTTTGTGTGTGTGCCGAGAATGGAAAAGTGCGGCTTAGCACAAAAGTGTGTTGGACCAGTAGTGAAGCATCAGGAATTTGAAGCTAGAGTCTGATTCGGTACACTTTTGTGTCTAACTGCTTTTTTTCATTGTTTTTTCCAAAGTCCTGCAAGAAATGTGCCAGACCGAAAGAACTAGGCAAAAAATACGGTATGGCAGAAAATGTGTCGAACATGCTTGTAGCTAGGAGGAAGAAGCCAGTTTGACACATTTTCTTCCGAGCCATATTTTTTTCCATGTTCTTCAGGTCCGGCACATTTCTTGCTAAACCATGGCAAAAACAATAAAAAAAAATAATGAACTTCAAATTCCAGAAGCCTCATTACCAGTCCGTCATACTTTTGTGTCGGACCGCACTTTCCCATTTTAGACGGAGAGAGAGAGAGAGAGAGAGAGAGAGAGAGAGTTGGGTGGGAGAGGGAGAGGGAGAGAGAGAGAGATTGGGTGGGAAAAGGAGAGAGAGAGGATTGAAAGGGTAATTTAATATTTAACATATTAATTTTTTTACTGGGGGTAAAAGCAAGAAAAAATAGTAATTGTATTAAGAATGAGATATAAAAAGTATTGAGGGTTGGCTATCTACAAAGTACATTCCAAGGGGTATCTATAATTTTCTCTAAATTTTAATCATCAAACAAATGGCAATTTAATATTATTTATAGATATAACACCGAGGGATCTTTTCCCTGAACATGCTAAGATCAAGGTAAATACACAAGCATTGCCTAAATAACTAGGATGACGTTTCTATAAGGCCTAGGCTTTATGAAAACAAAATAAAGCATCATGTCAAATCTATTTGAAGATTTATGTCTTGTATTTTGAGGAAATAGATCTGCCAAGGTGGAGTCAAAAAGACAACTTTGAAACTCGATATGTATTGTTGCGATTGGGGGTTCATCTAGGGTTAAGGGAAAAAATGAAGATTGCTATGTAATCAGAGAGGCGTGAGCCTTTTGTAACCTTATTCTCCATTGCCAGTAAAGAAGTTTTCATCTCCCGTGGACGTCTGCCCGTGGACGTCGACACGTTACCGAACCACGTATATCATTACGTTGTGGTTAGTTGTATCTTTCTTTTGTGTTTGTTTATTCTTTCTAGTTTTCGTGGATTGTTTTTCGTTTTTACAAAATCCTCATCCAGAAAGTACTTTCGCTGACAGAACTCTCTATGATGGCTCTAAAAGCAACTTTCAATACCAACAATAACCTTTGAAACTCTAAAATTGGTACATATCTTGTGGATCTATGAACTCTTATTTTTACAACAAAATGGACAGTTTAGATAATTTGTTATGATATACACCATTTTTAGAGCTTGAAAACCTTTTTTTT